CTTTCTTTCTTTCTTTCTTTCTTTCTTTCTTTCTTTCTTTCTTTCTTCCTTTCTTTCTTTTCCTTCCTTCCTTCCTTCCTTCCTTCCTTTCTTTCTTTCTTTCTTTCTTTGTTTCTTTCTTTCTTTCTTCCTTCCTTCCTTCCTTCCTTCCTTTCCTTCCTTCTTTCTTCCTTCCTTTCCTTCTTTCCTTCCTTCCATTCTTCTTTCTTTCTTTCACTAATTTCCTACCAGTGATGCTATATAGTTACAAATTATGGAGCAGCACAATCTTAAAAGAACACAAATTGAGGTTCACACAAAGGTGGGTATAGGTAGGTTTTGGCATATTACCAACAATGACTTGGTGTAGCCTAGTTCTGACTCAGACTGGTCCTATTGTTCAGGTTTGGGATTGGAATGAAATGAGACCCTCCTAGACCATCTAACAGTAAATGAAGGGACGGTGCTTAACCACAGCATAGACCACCATTTTGTTAAGTTGTGACCACGTGCCAGGCATCATGCTTAGTGCTGGGGGGCACCAAGAATAACGAAATGTGTAGCTTTTCAACCTTCACCATGGTTGGTCTGTGGGTGTCAAATCTGAGGAAGGAGCTTTTGACTCCAAATACAGGGAACCTTTGTAATGAAGCTATACCCTTGATTCAAGCCTTAAGACCTTGGGACTAATTGAGTCTTGGTGACAGCTTGGAAAAACTAACCAAGTCTTCAGAGGGAAGAGACTTGGGAAAAACTAGCCCAGAATATATACGGCAGGGCCTCTTGTAGACATTGCTGCTACTACAATTTATCAGTAGAAGTGCTATCAGTACCATTATATCAAGGATGCTTAGGACCCAAAGGAGGGGAATATGTATCAAGAGTGAGGAATAACAGATGGACGGCCAAAGTGTTGTATAGGTATGTGTGAAATTGTAAAAACAAAAAAATAAACAAAAGAACGAACAAACTAAGGCAGATCTCTAACAATTTGGGTAGATCCCTTTCCCAAGATTTATAGAAAGACATGGATAAGAATGACAATTTCACATTAGCTCACAATCACAGATTCAGAGCTGCAACAGACCTTAGAGGTCATTAAGTCATCATTTTGCAGATGAGGAAACTGAAGCTCAAAGGGATTCAATGACTTGACTTGCCCAGGGTCACATAGCAGATAATACATGCTTGAGGTGGGATTTGTACCCGTATCTTTCTGACTCCAGGTCCAGCACTCTATCCACTGTACCACAATGCCTCATAATTGAAGAACATATTGCCTGACAGTTTTCAGTCTGTTCCAGTGAATGGAGCGCCCACAGGAGTGGGATCACCAATCCACTGAAGTATTGAAATATTAAATTGAAGGCATCTAAATGTATAAACTCTCCAAAGAAAGGAAGGAAGGAAGGTTGAGAAAGAACATGGGGTCTAGGACAGAGCTTTGGTAAATGCCCCGTTTGGAGGGTGAGAATTGACTGTGAAAGGAAGAAACAAAATAAGATGGTATCTAGATGGCAGCAGGGTAGAGCAAAGACATTTTTAAGATGGAGAAGTGAATATGTTCAAAGGCTAAGGAAGCAGAGCCCGTGGTGAAAGATGTTGGAGGGGAGGTCCCTTGGGGGGACCTTGTTCCATGGCTACTTATGCCACTCCAGGGCAGCTCTTCAATTTCCGAGGGGTCACCATCTGATCCCAAGGCACATTGGAGAAAAAAATGAAGTTATTTAGTTTTCATACAATCACAGACCATCAAAATTCCAACTTACCACTCCTGTCAGCCAGTCCTCCATGGATTATCCTGGCCACCATGATATCCCCTGTTATCTCATGGCGCTTGATGGTGGCACCCTGACAAAAGAGAAGCACAAGATACACTTTTAATTCAGTGTGCTTGGACTCCTTGGAGTCAACACATGTCTTACTTTCTAGACAAGGCCATCTCTAGTATCAGGGATAAGAAAAACCACACAAAAATGAAGAAAATAAAAATTAATTTAAAAATTTTTTTTCAAGGGCAGCTCGGTGGATAGATTACTGGCCCTGGAGTCAGGAGGACCTGAATTCAAATCCAACCTCAGACCAAACACTTGACACTTACTAGCTGCGTGACCCTGGGCAAGTCACTTAACCCCAATTGCCTACAAAAACCCCCCCACCTTTTTCAAGCAACAGAAATAAAAAAAAATTGGAGGAGGAGGGCATTTGGGAAGAAATATGATGAGTTCTTTTTGGACATGTTGAGCCTGAGATGTCTTTCTCAAGAGAGAGATTAGGGCTGACTATATAGATTTGGTAACAACACGCACAGAGATGATAACTGAATCTTTGGGGGCTGATGAGATAATCAAGAGAGAGAGTCTAAAGAGTATAGTGAATTGAATTCACAGAATTTTAAATGTAGAAGGAAACTTCCACGGCCATCCGGTCTGATCATCCCTAGAAGGAATCCTGATTATAACATACTGAACGAGTGGTCAACAAGGTTCTGCTTGAAGATCTCTAATGAGGAGCAGTTTACTCCATCCTCAGGCAGCCCATTTCACTTTTGGTCAGCTCTCATTTTTAGGAAGCTTTTCTTGATATCTGACCTCAATTTGCCTCTTTGCTTCATCGCCCCAATACTCCTCTTCTGTCCTTTGAGGCCAAAGAGAAGCTCCACCTTTTAGGGCTAATCTTTGTTCCACATGATGGTCCTTTAAATTCTTGAATGTTCTATAGGATTACGTTCCCCTTGAGCCTTCATTTCTTCAGACTAATTATCCCTAGCTCCTTCAATTGGTCCTAATGTGCCATGGACCATCTTGGTGGTTTCCCCATAGAGCAATATTTGTCTGGCTCATCCATGTCCTTTATAAATTGTGGCACCCAGAACAAAACACAGTACTATATGTGTACTCTGACCAGGGTAAAGCACAGAGGGGCTCTCACCTCCTTATCCCTAGAATCTATATCTCTCTTAATACAGCCTCAAAAATGGCTTTTTGAAAAACTTGCCACATCTTACTACTAATTCATATTGAATACATCAAAAGCCCTGCATCTCTTGCAGATGAACCGCTGTCTAGCCATGCCTTCCCCATTCCATGCTTGTGAAGCTGATTTTCTTAGACAAAGTAAAAGCCTTCGCAGTTACTACTATAAAACTTCATTTTTTTTAATCTAACCCAATGCTTTAGTCAGTCAAGGTCCTTATGGGTCCTAACTCCATTACCCTGTCTGCTTTGTGCTGTCTGATAATTGCTAAGCATGCCCGCTAAGCTTTTGTCCAAGCCACTGAGAACAACAAAAGGCCATATGCACATCCCTGGGGCACTCCACTGGAGGAAGGCCTCCTACCAAGTGGATACAGAACCATTAACTACTTGAGTTTGGCCAATCAAGTGGTTCGAAATCTATTTAATCGTGTTATTGTCCAGTCCACATCTCTCCATCTCTTCCGTAAGAATATTGTTCAATTGGTTCAGTCATGTCTGACTCTTCATGACCCCAGTACAGTCCATGGGGTTTTCTTGGCAAAGGTATTGGAGTGGTTTGCCATTTCCTTCTCCAGTGTAAGAATATTAGCAGATATCTCATTGCATGCTTTGCTAAGAGCTTTGCTCATTTCATTTAAATGACATGTAGCAGAGTGACTAAAAAAAAGCACAGGTTCATTACCAAAACAAAGAAATATAAGACACAATCTCTTACATCTTACATTTTGCAGCTTAGAGAACAGTAAGTGGAAATTTCTAGTCAGGGCAAACATTAATAAATTCAGCGTATTCAAAAGCATAAGCAAGTGGTGTCTAAGGGGAGAAAACCCTTTTCTGACTAACAATTTCTCTCCAAATTTTCTGAACGCCTGTAGTTTAATTTCCACCAACCACAGACACACATAATATCCATGTTGCCCCTCTAGAGAGTCTAATCTCTGTAGTACATTTCAAAATTCAAACATCAAAAGACTTTCTTACCAGGGGCTGTTTATTTTTCACCAAGCAGACAATCCTCAAAGCTTCCTCATTCTCAGGGATGTTATCGGGCAGCGGCGGAAGAACCGGTTCAAAATCTTTCTGAGCCACAGTATCATGGGCGTTTAGTAAGGCCTGGGACAAAACAAAAAAGCAAGCCATGATCATCCTGGGAAACATGTCCATTCCCAAAGTCAGTTAGCTCCAAACAACATGGCATGTGGCACACAGCACACAAGCTGATTAATTCCTACTAAAAATTCATGATTCTATGATTGTGGGCAGCAATCTCATTTCTTGGAAGCCCAGGTAACGTAAACTATAGACCAGACCTAGTCCACATTGCATGGAGTTTGAATTACAAAGTATTTTATGCAATAGCTTTCCTAACATAAACAGATGGACAGTTTTTGGTTGCCGGGTTAGATATCAGCTATAAGCAAAGGACCGATAGATTTTCCTATGTCAGTCTTTTCATCACTACAAAATTTTTCTGGGACAACCATATGAAACATTGTCCAAAGGACTAATTGTATGAAAAATGTTGATTAAACAACTCGAGTTTTAGCAGTTTTTTTTTCCCAAATGGAAACAGTCAATATTTGAAGGGACAGGTCTACAAATACAGTTAGAGGACACATGAATGGGCCCAGCCATTCTGGAAAATAATTTAGAATTATGTCAGAAAAGTCACTAAGGTGTTCATAGACTATGCTGATATTAGTTTTACAAGCCTAAAGAGGTTGATTACAGGAATAAATGCTCCATATATACAATAATATTACTATTAATACTTCTTGTCATAGCAAAAATACTGGAAGGGGTGCCCATCAATTGGGGAATGACTGAACAAATTGTGATATATGAATGTAATAGAATGTTATTGTGTAGTAAGAAATAATAAGTTTTAGGGATTCAGAGAAACATGAGGAGACACATGAAGAAACACAGCAGAGTCATAACAACAACATATAGTCAGTTCTGCAATGATACTTGTTTTGAAAATGTGAATTTGTTCCAATGTAATTAATATATTAGGGAACAATGTGAGCCTAATAGAGGTTTCTTATTTGCTTATGTGTGATTTAATCTTCGAGAAATACTAGATGAACACAGAAAACTATAACCAGTGAACTAAGCCATAAAGGAATACATAAAATGCACACACACACACACACACACACACACACACACACACACACACACCCCTCAAACATCTACCAGCTACCTCCGTGTTATCCTCCAAGGCTGTGCTTTGCTATTCTTTTGCATTTGTGGACTTCTCTACACAAAAAACCCACCCATTCAACAATCCAAACATTCTTAGGACATCTAAGCTTCCTGGTTCAAAAATGCCAAGCAGTCCACACAAAAAGAAACGTTTATGTGTAGAAGAAGCTTGAATGTTAAATGAGAGAACACGGGCTGTCTCGCAAATAATAATCATAAAGGAATCCACATCGTGGATGAGCAGAGACAACCACATAGAAGAAATGCCCCTGACTGGAAGTGGGGTGGGGTGTTCCTAACCCCATTTCACCCATAAGCCTTATGGATTTTATCACATAGTTTTGCAATTTTGGCAATTTTTAGGAACACAAATGTCATGTTCTAGCAAAACTAACTATACTGTGACTCCAGTAACTACTCTAAAAAGTAGTTGGGAGGTTTGGCCTCAAGAATGAAATGAATGATACGATATACTTCCCTCATTTATTTGCAGAGGTGGGGGCTAGGAGATTTGGAATATTGCATAGACTGTTAGACTGATGTCTTGGTTATTTTTGCTGAATTGCTTTTTTTCCCCTCTTCCTTCCTCTGCTCCCCCCCTTGTTACAAGGGATGGCTTATAGGTTATGTTGTGTGATTTGTCCTCAAAGAGGACCATGACATCATGGAGATGATGCCATGACTTGCATTGATTGAATTTGAGTGAGGGAAGGCTGTGCAAAGTCACCAGCCTCACTTTCTCCTCCAGAGCCATCTGGGTCCAGTAGCCAGATATAGATCAGGACAACTGCAGATGGCCCAGGATGCAATGGGAGACCTGGGCTTTTTTAAGCTTAGGTCTTTCTGAGGTTTCACTTTGAATGAGGCAAAGCTGGGGGAAATGGGAAGGATATGTTTTAAAATAAAGGTGGTATTGGGGAAGCTAGGTGGTGCAGTGGATACAGCAAATGGCCCTGGACTCAGGAGAACCTGAGTTCAAATGTGACCTCAGACACATACTAACTATGTGACTCTGGGCAAGTCACTTAACCCCAGATGCCTCCAAAAGAAAATAAATAAAGGTGATACTAAAACAAAAGACGTAAGTAAAAGTTACAAATTAGGAGATAAAAAACACTAAGGGAAACAGTGTGGCAGAGAGGATAGTGAGCTGTCCTCAAAGTGTGGAAAATTAAGATTCAAGTCTGCCTGATAACAAATTGACTCTGTGACTCTAGATCTGTTAAAAAGAAGTAGGTACTGCTGGGAGATTTGAGTTCAAATCCAGCTTCAAGCACTTACTAGCTGTATGACCCTGGCCAAAAACATCTGTTTACCTCAGTTTTCTCATCTGTAAAATTTGACCTTCCAAGGTTCATTGTGAGGATCTCAAATGAGGTGACATTTGTAAAGCACTTAGCACAGTGTCTAGCTTTAGGATATGCTTGTTTCTTTCCTTAAGACTCACAGGCATATCTCTAAGTGAAGAAGAAGAAGAAGAAGAAGAAGAAGAAGAAGAAGAAGAAGAAGAAGAGGAGGAGGAGGAGGAGGAGGAGGAGGAGGAGGAGGAGGAGGAGGAGGAGGAGAAGAAGAAGAGAGGAGGAGTCGTCTCCCATCACACATACCACAAAGGAGGGTCTGGGGTGATCAGTTTCTTTTGATGACAAAACACCCAACATTTCTATAATCATTGGTTATGTGATCATTCTTCCTAAGAGATTGCTTAACAGGTAGAATTAAATTGGAACTTTAGAAAACACCTTAGCTTTGTTCATGCTGTTCAGATTGTTGATAATAAATGGTTACCTTTTGCACTAGATGTTTGACTTATAGGTTGCATTCCAAATACCAAGAAGTCAATAAATTGATACTCTCAGTATGCACAACACTAAAAAGTACTCTCCAAGAACCAATTGATTACCATGACACTGTCAGTATATTAGTACACAATTCTTTACACAAAGTAAGCATTTAATAAATGCTTTATTCATTCATTCATTCATGATATTAATCTTTTCAAACCTAGTTCCAAACTTGAAATTTTCCATGTTGTCTCATTTACTATAGCAAGTTTTCTTGCAAACTTCATTTCCCCCAATTCTTAGAGATTTTGCCAGTGAAATGAAGAGAGGGAGGGCTAGTTTCACTACATTTCTTTTCTTCAGGACCCTGTCATCATCTGCCTGGATGCTCCCATCGTCATCAATAATGCTTTTATGTAGTGCATTTATATAGTACTTTAAAATTTGCAAAGAACTTAACAAATATTATCTCATTTTATCCTTACAACAACCCTGGGAGATAAGTGTTATTATTACCCTCATTTTATAGATAAGAAAACTGAGGCAGACAAAGATTTATCTAACTTCCCCAGAGTTACATAGCTGGTTAAGTGTTTGAGACTAGGTAAGGTCCAATGTTGAATTCACCGCACCACCCAGTGGCCACATTTTGTCACAGTTTTCTTGATTACTTGCTACGTAACATTCAGATAGGAAAACATCGATGTTTCAGTATCAAGATCAGCATGGTACAGTGGATGGAGCCTTGGGCTTGGAGCCAGAGAAAAACCTGAGTTCAAAACCTGCCTCGGACACTGACTAGCTGTATCTAATAAAAATTATTGTTTTTCACAGTAAAATTTCTGGCTATTCAGGAACAAGATTCTTTTGGGAGGGGTGATGTGGGAGGAGGAGTGGGGAAGAGGGAGACGTGGAAGATTTATCTTAAAATAGGAGTTACAAATATGTGCTCAATTTGAATGATCTGAAAATGGATAAAGCTTGTCCCTTTCATCCTTTTCCCTTTTTAATTGTATGTAGAGACGGAATAGGTCAAAAAACCTGAAGAAAATTTCTTTCAAACGTGATTTGGATGGTATGCACATTCAAATCTAATTTGAATGGTAATGTACATTCAAAGCATCCCATTTAGTTCAATAAGTTTCATTTGATAACATTGAATTTTTAAAAAATTGTTTAAAAATTTATTTATTTATTGTTAAAAGGATGTTGTGCAGAACAAACTGCACCATCTGGACCATTCTCTTACTCACTGTGCCCTGGGTAAGTCCCTTAGCCTCTCTAAGCCTCAGTTTCTTTATCTGTAAAATGAGGTGGGGGGGTTAAATTGATCTCACCAGGTCTAAATATGATCCCATGCCAGGCTGACCTGACCATGTCACATCTGAAAAATGAGACGGCAATAAACTTGGAATAATCCCCCTTGTTATAAGGTATCCTAGAAAAAAGTATAAGTCAGGAGCTGCGGATTCCGCGGCTGTTTCTGTAGTTACTGTCTGGGTGACCTTTGAGGGATCAGTTTCTCATCTGCAATGAGGTGGTTAGACAAGACAATCTCCAAGGTCCCTTCCAGTTCTAATGGTCTAGAATCCATATGCCTTCAAATATGTTTGTGTCTCTTAAAAAAAAACAAAAACAAAAATAAAAACAAAAAAGACCACTAATTACATTGTAAAGTTTCATCCCCTAAGATTTCCTTTGCCTCTAAAATTTTATGACATTTAAATGCATTCCTTGCTTGCCCATTATAATGAAACTCCTTATTTGAGGGTACTTTTACTGTGGCCTTGATCTGTGCTTCCCATTTTTCAGTGGGTACCCTCCCAGCCAGGCTCCTCTTTTGTCCCCTCCTCCCTCCCTCCCTCTCCCCTTCCCGAACCACCCCAGGAGCCAGCACTTGCCTGGAAATGTTTGGCTTTTAGAACTTGTCTCAGTTCTCGGACCTCAGGGGACTGAGGAACCTCCCGCAACAACTCCACTACCTGGTTAATGGAATGACATGGATTATGAAATTGATTATCTTTGTTTTATAGGGAGTCCCACTCCCAGCCATGTAAATAAAGCAGAGGGGTCAAAGTGTGACCAGCGGGCCACAAGTGGCCCACAACACTCCTGAGTGTGGCCTGAACCAGGTTAAAATGTAATTGGGAAATATTTAACAAAATAAATACAAATATAATAAAACCTAAGTAGTATTCCATTTCAAAACTAAGTCAATATGTGGCCTGTAGGCATCCTTTGGTAAGCATTAGTGACCCCTCTATTTGAAGCCCTCGGTGTTCATCTTTTATTTCAAGGTCTGGGCAGATTCCTTCATTCGTTACGCTCCAGGATGACTCCAGAAGCAGGTCGTGGCTTTGGGTAGGACTGACTGAACCTTGAGGCTCAAGCCTGGCTGAGACTGTCTCTTTTCCTTCTCTAAATCCATGAGGATGTGTATATTTTCCCCCCATTAGTGTCTTTAAAGCCCCTAGGTATTATGAGCCCCTTGTCCCCAGGTACAACTACCTTAGTTTCCCCAGCTATAGATAGAGTCGAAGACTTATAATTTCCATACACATCTATTTAGTACTAGAAGAAATGGTAATTTTCCTATTGGTGACTCCATTCCATGAAAACAGCATTTTCTATTTCAGGACTGGCTACTCTATTAGCTAAGCATCACTATTTGAGCACTACAAAGCATCAGGAAAAAGAAAAAAATCTCATCCACATGAGGGTTATTTAAGATGATTTAGAAATGCTGGAATGGAGACTAGAGAATAGATTAGCTTCCTTCTACTCTCATGAGTTTGTAATAATAGAAGGTCATTGTTGTTTAAATCACATTTTGCTTTTTTTTAAATTAAATTTTTAAATAAAAAAATTTTAAATCAAATTTTAAAAAATCATATGCAGACTGGGTCATGATCAAGGTACTTTTATGGGGGAGCCATGGGAGAATGAGAAAAGTGGGAGGAGAAATGAATTAATTTGCCCTAAAATATTAGTTAAAATATATGATCATTTTGAATAATTTGGAATAGATTAAACAGGTCTGTTTTCTCCCTTTCCTTCTCTATATGCAAACTAGAAATATCTTAAAACTCAATAAATATTATATGCAGTTAAATCATCCATTTCAGTTAATCACTTTTTATCTGATAAAACCAGAATTTTTGTTAGAAGGGGGTTGAGTAGGCATTGCATTATTTTTCCCACTCTTACCTCACAGGATAACGCTTGTGCCTGGGACAGGACAGGGATTGGTTTCTTCATGATATATTCCTGGAGACATTCATAAACCTACAGAGGGGGAAAAGGTACAGCACATAACATGCTTTGACCATGTAGATATGGAAAGCCAGAGGACAAGGATCCTGGCTGCCAAACTTATAGACGTTTGGCAGCAGAGATACATTAAGGAATTCTCCACGTGGGATAGATACCACAGTAAGTAGAATGAAACATACCCTCAGTTGAGAAGATGGGAGGGGAAAGGGCTAGGACACCTTCAAAGAATTTCCTAGTGGGGAGGCCTGGGGTGGTGGGGTAAAAGAGAGGAGTTAACACAAGCACACCAGTTGGTAGCTTCTTCTTTTAACTAATTAGTTTTATTAACTAAGTATGAAGTTCTATTGTTTCTGAAGAACTGTAAAATTTGGCACCCTGGGACAAAGAACAAATTGCCACACCCTAGTTGTGTCTCTTTCTAATGGAATACCCTGAGCATTTAGGTATTTAACAAAGAACATCGGATACTGCTGCTGTCATCTAAATACACTCTTGGGCAGACAGTTAATCTCTGAGAAATCTTAGTGTTCACCTTTAGAAGGGCTTGCAGCCAAGGGGAATGGAGGAGATCATATAAAAGACTGACTCCATTGACATCTCTGCTATAGAACAGACTTAATTCTTTCAGCACCAGCCTCAGAATCTGAGAGAGACCTGAGGAAAAAAGAGAGAGTCAAGTATTAAATATAAACAGAAGAATACAGAGTTATAACTAAGGCTAGGTGATGGGGGCTTTGACTTAGGCAGTTAACATTCTCTGGTGCCATGAAGAATCTCTGTCCTGGGACCCACTTTTAGCTGCATTGGGCCCTCTTCTCTCCTGCCCCACTGTTGTGCCTCCTTCTTGTTGCTCTCCCTTCCACTGGGACTTATTTGACTAAGAAGACTGTCCTTGTGGCTTTTCTATTTCCCTCAATTTGCCCCTAGAGCCAAACTTCCTAGTCACAATTCTATGGGCAACTATGTAATAATGTGATTCAGCTTGTGCTATAGGAAAAATAGAATGAGCCCTTACTTCATTTTACCATACTTTGGGTTATTGTGATGGTACCTAGCTCCTTCTTAATCTCCCTCCATCTGAAGCAGAAATCTATGCATCTTTTAGCACTTCTGGAAACCCATATTGCAAATGGTCATTGGAAGATTCCAACTTCTAAGAAAGTCTTGAGCCATATTTCCAAGCAATCCCAGTACTCTGTAGATGAAGGGAATTTCTCATTTGGTTCTAAGACTCTAAGTTATTTTGCTGGGAACTTGACATGATATATTTTTAATGCATGAAGTTCATGAACTATCCAGAGCTTTACATAATATTAGTAGACACACTTTTATAGTGTTTTTAAATTACTGAAGTGCTTTATATACATTTTTCCAATTCGTATGTCACAACAACACTGTGAAGTAAGTACCATAGATATTATTAGTTACATTTTATAGATGATGGAATTGAGGTTCAAGTTGAATGATTTTTCTTGAGTCATATAGTTAATAGGTATTGGAAGAACAGGGTGTAATGACACTAGCCTCTTAATGGAGAGGCTGAAGCTGGCGGATACCTGGAGTTTGGGAATTCTGAGTTGCAGTAGGCTAAAACTAATCAGGAGTCCAGACTAATCAGTATGGTGAACCTCTCGAGCAAAGAGCCACCAGGCTGCCTAAGGAGGGGGAAACAGGTCCATGTTAGAAAAATGGAGCAGGTTAAATCTACCATGTTGAGCAGTATTGGGAAGAGGTTCATGAGAACCAGCCTGGGCGAGATAGGAAGACCCAATCTCAACAAAAAAAGTATCACAGGTAGGATTTTTGAACACAGTTATTTCTCATTCTAACTCCAATACTCTATACCCTCTACTGAATAGTCATAAAAGAAGTGTGGCACAAAAATAGCAAATACATTAGTGGAATATATAAAGTAAGTTTCTTGTGCCATTTGCCTTAAAAGTGGTTTATAAATTTCCTTACTTTCATATGGAAAGTTAACTGATCTACTGGACACTGAATCATTTTGATTCTCTCTGTTTCTCTGTCTCTCTCTCTCCCTCTCCTTCCCTTCCTCCCTCTTTCGCCCCCCATTTCTCTCTCTCTTTCTCTCTCTCTCTCTCTCTCTCTCTCTCTCTCCCCACACACACACACACACACACACACACACACACACACACACACACTCTTGAATATAAGTATTTTAAGATTCTTTCAGGTGTGGACCAGCAATCTAGAGATACATACCATTCTCCTGACTGGTAACTGGTGGCAGCTCCATCATGCTCTTTTTGTCTGGTGATTTCTCTCCTTTTTCCAAATGGAGAAAATTTCCTTTTCCAAAGGGAAATTGGACCTGGGAAAAAGATCAACAGATGAACTCCATTTAAGTAAAAATGACTCTCCTTCCTTCTTCCCCTCCATCACAATGCAAGTCCATAACATAATCTGGCTATTCAATGTTACACCTTGACAGTCTCAATAAAAAGAGAAAACTCACAATGTTTCATGTTTTAGAATTTTTCCTCAAATAGATCTGTACAAATATTAAGAAGGTTAAAAGAGCAGAGCCCATAGATCAACATATTCTGCTAATATTCTCGTTTTTAATCCACAGGACCATCTGGTACATTTTATTGGGAACTTTTATAGTGGTTGATGGTGGTCAAATGTGTGGCCTTCATTATTTCTGCTTTGTTGACTATTTAAGAAGATATTAAGTGCTATAAAGAATGAAGCTGAGACAGGATGGTATAGAGGATAGAGAACCAGTCTTGGAATCAGAAGTTCTTCTGAAAAAGAGTTCAACTGCTTCTTGCCACGTATTTCCCCTTTGACCATAGGCAGGTTACTTAACTTCTCAGCACCCTCAAGCAAGATGACAAGATGAATTGCTAGTCTATATCAACAAATGGGAGATTACACATTGGGAATTCTCCATATCAATGAAATAACAACAAAACAGAATAAGGAGGAAGCCATAGCTTTTTCCCTATAAGCTCAAAATCTACGTTTAAAAAGAAGAGACACAAACCCTAACATTCAATCTGCAGTTAGCTGTAATGAAGGCTTTGTGGGTCACAGGTTGTATTTATGATCACACTGCAACTCAACATGGTCTGTAAGTCAGGGTCGGTCTAATGACTCTCTTGGGCATTGAGGATTTAGGTTTCTGGAAAATCGTTGATATGGGGCATTCAGTAGAATGAACCCTGGACTAAGAAAATGAATAATTATATTTTTCACAACTATAGTTAGAAGAATTCTTCACCAAAGGATGGAGGAAATTGCAAAAGATAAAATAGATAATAATAATTACGTGAAACTGAAAAGCTTTTACATAATTAAAATCAATGCAATTAAAATAAGAAAGTAAGATGTTGATTAGTAAGAATCTTTCATCAAATATCGCTGATAAGGTTCTGCTATCCAAAATAGATAGGAAACCGAGAGGCATATGTGAGACCAAGAGCCATTCCACAATAAATAAGTGGTCAAAGGATATGAAAGGGCAGTTTTCAAAAGAATTTTAAACTATTAACATCCACATGAAAATTCCTCCAAATAACTGATAATAATAGAAAGTCAAATCAAAATATCCCTCAGGATTTACCTTGCACCTAGCAAAGATGAAAAAGATGGAAACTGTCAATACTCCAGAAAGATAAGAGGAAGTTCCTTTCAGGCACAGAGGACGCCATTGCAAAGACATGAAGATGTAAGATTGAGTGTCATACGTGGGGACAACACGAAGACCAATTTAACTAGTTTTGGCTTCTTAAACTTTTTCCACTCAAGTCCCCTTTATGCCTGAGAAATTTTTAGGTGGCCCTGGGTAAATAGGTTGTAAACCCCAAGAATCCATGAACCTCACGAACCCCAATTTGAAGACAGAGTCTGCTCTAAGAAAGAGACAAATGAAATCTGGGGGTGTAGGTCCACAGTTTAATTTCTTTCAAGCTGGCTTGACATGCATTGCATGGGAGTTCAGTACAAGATTGGGCCCCCCTAAGGGGGCCAGTTAAGAACTGATTCAAATTTGGGGGTTTTGGGCTTCAGCCTTATATGCCCTTCGAAGAGTATGGTGTCAAGGGGTGCCAATCCACTGTCAACATTCTCCCAGACCTGTCTGGGCAACATAATGAGCCGGAATAGACCCATTTAGATTACATCTTAATGTCCTTCTGAAGAAGGACTGAACTTTGAAAGAAAGGGGCATGGAGAAGCTCTGAGTTTCCAAGATAATGATTACTAAGAAAAATCATTTTTTACAAGGTATATAAAATAAGTATACAAATCAAACATTTAATGATAATAAATCACAAAGAAATTTATCTTAAAATAATTATTTGGTATACATGTAATTTTACCATTTATTAAAGATGAAAGCAAATTTGCATACCAATGACATGATGTGCTTGTTTATTTTTACATAAAGAATTAAATCTTGGCAGAATATTTGATACTCCAGGGCACAGAGCATCTTCAATTTTTTTTTAGAGTTGATTGATATTTTGATTTAATAATCATCAATGCTGAGGATGCTGCTTCACATAAATATGTAGTTCAAAATGGCAGAAATATGTTTAGGGCCATTTCAGAAATTATTAGAAATTCTGACCTAATCCCAAGCCAAAATTCACTTAGCGATTTTGTATGTACAATAAAAAACACTGCAGTTCATAATACACAATATTCCCAAATCTGAGCTGAGGTGTTTCTGGCAGTGTTTGTTGGCATTGTATGGTGTGATAGCATGTGCCGTGTAAAGTGTGTATGTTGTGTGTTCAGAAGCAAGGCTGCAATGAAGTTACGTGATGCTGAACGGGCAAGTGTTGCCAGAAACATCTTGGATTCATTATGCATTTGATTTTGAATCAAGTTTTGGTCATTGTGTGTTCAGAAACCTTTTACTGTTGCCAGTTTTTTTGGGACTCCTTCATTCAGTTACAAAACCTAATCTGGGGTCACCACCCACACAGTTTAAGAAGTGTTGGACTAGACCATGGAGTATTTGAAGGGGAGTAATGGACACTAAGGCCAGAAAAATAGGTTGGGAACAGGTTGTAAAGAGCCTTAAGGGCCAAAGAGGAATTTACATTTCATTCTAGAAGTCATAGGGATTCATTGGAATATTGGGTTGAAGAGTGACACAGTCAGACCTGTGCTTTGAAAAACCACTTCGGGGGGCGACCGCGCTGGGACTGGCCGCCACCTGGAGTATGAGGGACCGGCGGCGGCAGCGGCGACGATGACAGCCTCCTTGTGACTTCTGGTGTCTCAGAGCACCAAGAGAAGAAATGAGCCCTTCTTAGTGCTGCTAGAACTTCTGAGGGTCACTCAAGTGATGTGGTAAGACAGGCTTTTGATAATTCTTTTTTAAGTAGGAGTATTGGGGAGGGAGGATGAGGGTAGGTAATGTACAAGGAAAAGCCATCTCTTAGGGCTTTGCGTTGAGGAGAGGACGATGAGATAGAGAAATCTCTTCTTCCTCACTCTACCCTCACATCACCACTACCCATAGGGAGACAGGAAAAGGAAAGGGAAAAGGTAGCAAGGTGAAAAGGAGGACAGAAAATACTTTGGAGGATGTATTTTGTTGTTATTCAATCATGTCTAACTCTTCCTGACTTCATTTGGGGTTTTCTTGGCTTTGCCATTTCCTTCTCCAGCTCATTTTACAGATGAAGAAACTGAGGTAAACGGGGTTAAGTAGTTTGCCCAGGGTCACGTAGCTAGTAAGTGTCTGAATTCAGATTTGAACTCAGGAAGATGAGTCTTCCTGACTCCAGGCCCGGTCCTCTATCCACTACACCACCTAGTTTAAATCCCTATTTGGGAAAAGTTGAATAACAATTAAGTCACCCCCAAAAAGACACTGAAATTCTTCCTTAGCTCCTTTAGAAAGCCAATGTGACACAATAGAGTAGTGGACTTGTACTCAGGAAAGCCCGAGTTCATATCCTGTATCTGACGTTTACATAGCTGTATGACCATGGGTAAGTCAATAAACCTTTCTGAGCCTCAGTTTCCTCCTTGTAAAATGGGGATAATAATGTCTAGAGTACCTACCTCATGAGATTGTTGTGAGGCTCAAATGGAATAATATGTAAAGCACTTTGGAAACCTCAAAGTGCCATGTAACTGTTTTATTATTATTATTATCTCATTCCATGATTTGGGGCTTTTAAAAAGGTACAAATTGGCTGTCCCTACATGGGCCTGGCACAATTGGCTTCTTAGATAGAGTTGGTTAGGATTTAAATGATATATGCTTGTCCTGATGTATTCTGCCATTTCTGGACTAGATGACAACAGCATGACAATCAGATAAAAGTCACCAGATATCAAATTGTCCTAAAATTCAGGACAAATTATCAAGTGTGTTCAGATGGATAATTTCAAAGCTTTAATTACTTTCAAGTTGTATCACTTCTGGGTCAGTGCCCAGAGAAATGAGATTTTTGTGTCCTTGATAAATGGTGAACCTTTTGGGAATGGCAGGTGAGCTCAGGATGTCTAAGGGCCTACAAGACCGTCCATGTGTGATTTTGGTCATTCTGTCCTTCGAGAATTGACAAAAGAGAGGAGTGACAGCTCAGGATTTTACTTTAGAATGCTACCTGCTGTGAACATGTTGAATTTCTATCTAACCTGCTAAAGTCGATCTAAATCGATGTCATAAATACATAGATAAGTCTGTAACCAAATTCCACAGGCTCTTTCTTAAGCCCACCAGTTGTGTAGCTGTGGGAGGTCTTGTCACCAGATCTGCCATGTTACAAATTTAATATTGAAAGTTTCTGGAGTCTGTAAGACAGAAATAGAAACGTGGTAATGTGATTTTTAAAGTGAGCGACTACTGAAGAAACTTTTAAATGAAGCAAGAAGAGACCTTGTTACTTTGTTTGTAAACAGAGACATATCTAATTTTTCTACTGATTGAATTACAATTCTTAGAACCGGATTAAAATTTTAAAATATTTTAAAACCACAAATAAATGGAAATGACTTTCATTGTTAAAACTTCCACCTCCTCCCCTCCTTCCTTCAGCTTCCTGGCAAGAAGGCTAACCTTGTCAACTGTTTAAATAACAATTTGATTCAATTCATCAATCGTTTATTAAATAGCTGCTCTGTGCAGGACACTATGCTAGGCCAGGGCCTGATAATAAAAAGACAACAATAGAACAATCCCTGCCCTCAGTGGCATTACATTCTGGGCTCAGATGAGATCATATATGTAAAGCACTTTGTAAACCTTAAAGTGCTATTACATAAAGGAAAAATGTCAAATATCATCATCGCTATTAGACTCTGCCATATAATTAAGTCTGCTATCTCATAGGAAGTGGGCAAAAAAAGTTTTACGTTTTTTAAAGTAGGCACTGCCTACTTTAGCTGTTGTCATTTTACTGTGACTACAATAAAAAAATGTGACCAATAAGAAATGGACTTTTCAACTCTGAAGTGGATCTGTAGGAGAGTCTGGGAGAAGTACAAAGGTCCCCTGTGCTATATGTGTTGCTATTGGATTTCTATACATTGGTAGTGAAGTGGAAAATTAAGACAATTATCCAGAAAATTTTGTTCCAGACCTTTACTTTTGCCTGAAATGTCTAAATAATTAAAACAAATGTTTTGTTCATCTGGAAAAAAAAAGAAAAAAAAAAGAAAAACCACTTTGGCAACTGTATGGAGGAAAGATTACAGAGGGAAGAGATATGAGGGAAGGAGATGAGGAGGCTGCCATTGCAATAAAATAGAAGAGAGGTGATGAGGTCCCAAAGTAGGGGTGTGGTTGTGGAGAGGGAGAAAGAGAGATGGGGAGAGGGAGATGGAAAGGGGGAGGGAGAAGTCTTGTAAAGGTAGAAAAGACAAGACTTAGCAACTGATTGGATATGTGAGGTGAGGTAAAGTGAAGAGTTGAGAATGACAGAGGTAGCAAGCCTGATTGATTGATTGAAGGATATGAAATAATGGTCAGGAAATGAAGGCCTAGATAGGTGGCTTTCTGATAAAGGGTGCAACAATCTAGGATAGTTTGTGCAAAGGGAATAGAAAAGGAAATGGAATGCTATGTGCAAGAAAAAATGAATAGACCAATTGACTGGAACATTATGAAAGAGATTAAGGTGAAATGTCAGAAACCATAGGCTTGAGTCAGATGTGAATACTACAAGGCTGAGGGCTGTACATTTTGTCCTAGAGGCAATAGGGAGCCACCGTAGTTTCTTGAGTAGAGCAGTGGCATGTTGGATCTTTGTTTTTGGAAGATTTTTTGTTTTTGTTTTTGTTGTTTGTTTGTTTGGTTTTTTTTTGGTGAAGCAATTGGGGTTAAGTGACTTGCCCAGGGTCACACAGCTAGTAAGCGTCAAATGTCTGAGGTCACATTTAAACTCAGGTCCTCCTCAATCCAAGGCTGGAGCTCTATCCTCTGCACCACCTAGCTGCCGCAGAAGATTATTTTGGTAGCTATGAGGAGAGGATGAATCAGAGAAGAGAGATATTAGAATTTGAGAAATCAATTAAGAAGCCATTCCAGTAGTCTAGGGGACAGGTGGCAAGTGACTGAACTATAGTGGTATCCATGTAAGTGAAGAGATGGGAATAGCTGCAAGAAATGTTGTTGAGGTAACATACAAGACTTGGCAACAGATTGGATATAGGGAGTGTGTATGTGTGCAGGTGAGGGACTAATTAAGTTTGTAATTAGTAATTAGTAATTAAGATTGTAAACCAAGTGAATGGAATGATGGTGGTGCCCTTGACAGAAAAGAGGAGGAAAGTTATATGTCGGACATGTTGAGTTTGAGATGTTCAGGAGGTGACTGATAATATGGACTACAAGTCTGGAGAGATGAGGACAGGATGGAAGTCATCTGAACAGAGACGACCCTTGGGGTAGTACACACTACCCCAAAATGGGAAGTTAGGGACAGCCTAGAACACAGAAGAAGAAAGAAGGGGGCCCAGGACAAAATCATGGAGAACCCACAGGCTGAAGCGTCAGGAGTTGGAGGATAATTCCACAAAAGAGAATGAGGATTGGTCAGACACCAAAAATCTTGGACAGAGTAATGTCATAAAAGCCAAGGGAGAAGAGAGTTTTCAGGAGGAGGGGGTGTGAAAAACTGCAGAGGCAAAGAAGGGAGGTGACTGAGAAAAGGCCCTTGGATATAGCTATTAAAAGATTTTTGGTAACCTTGGAGACAGTGGTTTCAGTCTAGCGATAGTGTCGGCAGCTGCATTGATTGGAGAAGGAAGTGAATGTGAGGAGGCATCGGAAACGGGTGCAGATGCTATGAAAGGTGGCCCAGATATAGTTGATCAATTGCCAATTAGTATCTCAAGCTTCCTTCAAGACACTATTTCCTACAGGTGGACCTTCCTGATCTTTCCAACTCCTAGAATTTTCTCCTTTAATCTACACTATGTATCTCACCTGTACCATATCTGAATATAATTTAACCCCATTAGAATGTAACTTCCTGCAGGACAGAGACTTTTTTTTTCTGCTTTTCTTAGCTTAGCACAGTGCTTGGTACATAGCGAAGACTTCATAAATCCTTGCTGACTGACTGGCTGAAAAGAGGGCAATACCTTAAGGGGCTGGCAAGATTGAGGTAAGATTTATACACATCTTTCTTAGCTAGAGCCTGTTAATTAGTAATTAGACAATATTAATTTATGTACTTGTCTAGCTTCCCAAAAGTAACACACCTTTTCCCATTGGTCTAGGTATTATAGAAAGACTCAGGCTTAAATATGGAATCAATACAGGGAAATAAAATTCAGGATCCTTGGAGTCTGACCCAGTCACCACTGCAACAAGCGATCTGAGCTAGCTGATGGAGACATTGCTCCAACTATTGAGTCTAAACCAGGTGTGAGAAGTAAAGGGGGGCTTGTTGAATTCTACCTCACTTTCCTGTCTTTTGTCCCAGAATGAGGAAGGTGGGTCCTTCCCATTAGGATTAGTTATTAATCCTAGGATTAATTATGTCTATGGCTGATATGCTTGCAAGTACCAGGGTCTTCAATGACTTCATTCCATAGAAAGGGTAAAGTTGATTTCAGCGTCTTCTTGTGTATCTTCGCCTTGTCTTGTTACTATTATTCCCTCACATAGTCATTTCCTGCACACAATAATTGAAGTCAAAGAATGAATTAATTAGTCCTGTAGGTTGATGCATTTTACAACACTACAAATGATCTCTAGACAAGGATCTTTTTCTACAGCACCTAGAAAGCTGACAAGATGAAATTCAAGCAGTCATTGTTTAATGGGTAAGTTCATATGGGAAGAAAGAAGAGGTGTTTTTTTAAATAAAAATTTATTTCATTTTCAAACAAAGATCAGCCTTTGATGGACTCAGAAAAAAAGAGGTTTTAAAATCAACAAGAACTGCTCCATGGCCCACCTATGTTTGCCTTAAAAAGTAGGTGAAGACTTTAAATCAAAATTTTTGAAATAATTTTATGAATTGGGTATTATTCAACTGTAAGAAATCGTTGCCTCTTGGATTTTCAAGAGGGAGAGTTTTTTTTTTTTTTTAAAACAAGACTTGATTTCGTTGATATAGGGAATACCTTGATGAGAAAGCTTTCTATCAAATCAGAGTAGCACCTTCTCTGTGGCTCAGAAGAATCTTAGAGAGTTGTCTGAGGCACTAAGAGGTTAAGTGATTTACCCAGGGTCACACAGCCAGGATGTGTCTGAGGTGGAATTTGAAACCAGGTCTGCCTGGCTTGTATTATGGAGAATCATCAAATAGCCTGCCATATTTCCAATGTCTAAAAGGGCCCTGTGCAAGACAAAACAAAACAAACCAAACAAACAAAAAAAAAACCATGGGACTTTTCTGTTCTCTCCAAGGTTACCAATGTTTCTTTTAGATGTTAAATCTAAGAGTCTTTTCTTAATCCTTCTCCTTCTTGGCCTCTCTGAAGCCTTTGACACTGCCAGTTACCCTTTTCTCTGGAATACTCTCCTCCTTCAATATTGCTTCCTCCTGCTTCTCCTCCTATCTGTCTGATCCATCTGAGACTCCCAGCCTCCTTTGTTGGATCTTCGTCTAGATCATGCCTTCCAACAGTGGTGGTCCCCCAAGGTTCTGTCCTGGGTCTTTTTCTCTTCTCCCTCTGTATTGGTATGCTCGGTGATCTCATCAGCACCTATGGATTCAATGATCACTTCTAGGCAGATGATTCTCAGATCTATTTCTCTAACTCTAACCTACCTGAGCTCTAGTCTTCCTTTTTTAGTTGCCATTTGGATATCTTGAACTAGGTATCCTATAGACATTTAAAATTCAACCTGTCCAAAACCAGCCTCACTATCTTTACTCCTCAAATCATTCCCTCTTCCTAACTTTCCTATTACTGTCAAGGACACCGCCATCTTCCCAGTTATCTATGCTTACAGACTAGGTGTCATCCTTAATTTCTAACTTTTTCTCACCTCCCCTATTGAATCTATTGCCAATTCCTATAATTTCGATTGTCACAATATTTCTTAAATGCTCCTTCTTTCTTCTGACACTGCCATACCCTTTTGTAGGCCCTGATCACCTCATGCACAGACTACTCTAACAGCCTGTTGGCTGGTCTCCTTGACTTAAGTCTCTCACCACTCTGGTCCATCCTTGACTTAGTTATCAAAGTGATCTTCCTAAAATGTAGTTCTGACCACATAACACACCTCCCTCCCCCTCCAGTATACTCAAGGGACTTCCTATTACCTCTAGGATCAAATAAAAAATCTTCAGATTTTTCAGCCCTTTGTATCCTGCCCCTAGGATTAAATAAAAAATCTTCAGATTTTAAAGCCCTTTGTATCCTGCCCCTTCCCCCTTCTCCAGTCTTTTTAGATCTTATTCTTCTCCCTGTATTCTTCAATCCAGTAACACCAGCTTTCATGTGCCCTGTCTCACAAGACATTCCATCTTCCAACTGTGCATTTTTTACTGGCTGTCCCTCATACCTGGAATGCTCTCCCTCCTCACATCTTCCTCCTGGCTTCCTTGATTTACCTTAAGTCTCGGTTAAAATCTCACCTGCAAGAAGCCTTTCCCAGTCCCCCTTAATGCTAGGGATTTCTCTTTGAGAAGATCCTCAATTTATTCTACATACATCATGGTTGTACATAGTTGTTTTCCAGTTGATGCCCCCTTTAGACTGTGAGCTCTTGGAGGGCAGGGCCTGTTTTCACTTTTTTTTGTATCCCCATTGTAGCACTGTACCTGGCATATAATAGGTGTTTAATAAAATGTTTATGAACTTGACTGTGATAATTTAACTTTTTAAACTCTTAAATTTAAAGTATGGTGATTGCATAGGAATAAACATTTTCCACTAAGGTATGGTGATTGTATAGGAATAAATGTTTTTCACTAGATGTTTGTTCCCTGGTAAGATTTGACTAAATAATTGGTAAAAACTGAAAATAAACAATGAAAATAAATAATCATGGTTGGTTTTAATTAATTCCTTAGCAAAACTATCTTACATTGTGGGCATCCCATTTATATTAAACTTTTAAAATATGGTAGGATTTAGGCCAACTGTTAGTGTTCATTGCAACCTAAAATTGAATCAAGTATTCATTTTCAAGTCTGAATTTCTCCTTTAAGTTGTGATTAGCTTCTACAAGGAGACTATCCCACTCCACTCTAGGTGCCCCTACACTGCACTTGGGAAGGGAAATAGAATCTTTGCTCAAGCCCTCATTCAGAGCAAACTATATCCAAATTGCCAAAAATGAAATAATACTTTTAAAAGACCCCAAAGAGCTCAAGAATTTCCTTGAACTATACTAGCAAAATATAGCTAAGAGGAACAATTATACACTAAAAGTATTCTTAACCCTTCATAAGCCAGTGGAAAACGATATGCTTCATAGACTCCAATCTTATCAGGGTGTGAAACACACTCTGAAGACATGGGAAGATGGGCTGCTTTTTGTTGCTTCTGGATCATCTCATTGGCCAGCTCCTTGCCTCTGCAGCAGTGATGGGATGAGGCTCCATGGACTTGACTGTGATCATGTGTCAGTGACGTCAATCACAGCTAGTTCTTCCTGCTAGCCATCAGCTGCTCCAGTGCCATGGCTGTTGCTGCCTGCCCCAGCTAGCTAGCCACCCCAAGGCTGAAACCATTGCCACCTCAAGTTTCGTTATAATTCCACAATAATTTCCCTTTTAGTTATAGACGGCTTAGGTTGTACATCAGATAGCTATTAAAAAAAACCCAAACAACTAAAACATTATATTCCAATTGCCCACACCTTGGATGTTCGATATTAAGTTTTTAATAAATCATTTAATAAAACCATTAAAAAATGCATACACCAGGAGATATAAGTCTTCCAAATTGATGAATGGGAGGTTAGGAGACTGCCTAACAGAGAAGTCAAAGCAAAGAGATGGTTAGCTTCTGTGTGTGAATTACCTAGTCTGCATTTAATACTTACAGCTATGTCACCTAGTAAAAAATAATTGTTCAGTCATGACTGACTCTTTGTAACCCCATTTGGGGTTTTTTTGTCAAAAATCTTGTCAAAAAAATGATCTCCGGATCATTTTACAGATGAGGAAACCAAGACAAACAGGGTTAAGTGACTTGCCCAGGGTCACACAGCTAGTAAGCGAGCTCAGGTCTTCCTGACTCCAGGCAGTAAAACAATAGTAAAAAATAAGTATTGACTAAACCTATCAACTGCTGTCTGGCCATTAGAAGGTGAATTTAATTATCTGCCTATTGAATGCTATAGGCTGATACAGTGGGCTGATAGGCCATTAAACATGGCCAGCAATTAGAAGCACAAGATGTCAATGATTCCCAATATCAACTAATTATGTAGAATTCTTGTGGGGATTTAGAGTGAATAGTAATTACTTCTTTTTCTAAATTATCTTTTGTTTTTATATCACTTTCATTTTCAACTTTATCCCTCTTCCCTTTCCCAAACCAGAAACCATCCTTTTTTACAAAAAGGAAGAAGAAAAAAACAAAAGGGAAAGGAAAAAGTCGTTTAGAGAAACCAATATCAACTGAGAATGACAATGTGTGCAGAATTCTACATGCATACTCTCCCACCTCTGCAAAGAAGGCAGGGAGGGAGGTACATTTTCTCAATTCTTCTCCAAAGTCATGCTTCTTGGTAATTATAGTTACACAGCATTGAGTTTTGGGTTTTGTTCTTTCCATTTATGTTACTGCATGAAATTAATCCCATTCAATGAAAGTTTTTTTTCATAATCATGGTTGTGGTTCTTGCTGTCCTCCAACTTTCATGAGTTAAAACCCAGAGCTTCCACAGACAACACCCCTGAAATGGGGAGAAGGTGAAAGTCAACTCACTCCCACCCAGATAGGAAACAGTGCTGGAGACCATCTGATAACCAAGACTTTCTATGCCTTATGAGAGAGACAAAGATCAGCCTACTATCA